AAAGACTTATACAGAAAATTGATGGGTCAAAATATGGCATAAAAATTTATGCCCTTGTAGATGCAAAGACTTATTATGTTTTCCATTTAGACATTTATTCTGGAACTCACCCGTAGGTCTTTTTTTTGGGTACCAGGAATCAAACTCGTGACCTTGTGTTTGCCAGACAGGTGCTGTGCCACTGAGCTATCTCCCTGGTCCCTCCTTATTTGTATAGTAATAAAGTGAACGATGTTTAAAAAAAAAAAAAAAAGTGAATGATGTTGTAAACAGAATTGTTGCTCCCATCTCCCAAACTAATTGGAATGTAACATTCGACAATTAGTTTACTGGTTTTAAACTGATGTTACATTTGTTAACAGAGCACAAATTGACCAGTGCAGGAACTGTATGCAGGAACAAATCAGAAATTCTAAATGAAATGTTACAATTTCAAAACAGAGAACTGTATAGTACAATCTTTGAATTTCAGAAAGATTTACATTTGCCTTGTGTATGGCAAAGCAATACAAGTGGAAATGCTAATGTCAACACTGCACCACAATGGCAATATTGATAGGGAAACCCCAACAAAACGGAAGCCAGAGATGGGAACTTTCTACAACAAAATCAAAGGCAGAGTAGATGTTGTTGATGAGTTATGCGGTAACGATGAGGTCACTTGAAGCAGAAAGCATTGGCCAATGGTTGTGTTTTACTCGATCCTAAACATGTATGGAATAAACACTCTGATAGTTTACAAAGAAAACAACAGGTACAAAATACCATGGAAAAATTTTCTTAGAGGGCTGGGACTGGAACTCACAAGAGATCACTTACAGCAGAGGAAAAACAAAATGTTTCTGCCCAGGGAACTGCACAAAAAAACTATGCAGCGTATTAGTGAGCTGACAGATGAGCAGGCAGGCACAGCACCGCAAAGACCTGCTATGGCACCAGGACAATAAAAAAGATGTCAGTCGTGCCCTATGAGAAAGGACAGGAAAACGAAACCTACTTGCTATCTGTATAAGTGGTACTTGTGTATGTAATGTGCAGTTTTCATGTGTGAAGACTACCTTGGGTGTAAAGATTGAAGGAAAGATTATATCTCTTGTAGATTTCTATGGATATTTAATTGTAGTTCACATAGGTTTTTATTTTTGTATTTATTTATTTATTTGGTACTAGGAATCAAACTCAGGACCTTGTGCTTGCCAGGCAGGCACTTGTGCCACTGAGCTATATCCCTGGCTCCATATAGGTTTTTTATTTATGATGTTATCTCTTAGGTTTGTGTGTGTGTGTGTGTATGTGTGTGTGTGTGAGGTGCTAGGGATCGAACCCACTCCTAGGTTTTGTAAGCAAGTACACAGCTGATGTGAAAGTATTGATATTTATTCTATTTATTTATTTATTTATTTATTGGTTTTTCTCCGGCACCGGGAACCGAACTCATGAACTTGCGCTTGCCAGGCAGGCGCTTTTGCCACTGAACTAAATCCCCAGCCCCTAATATTTATTCTAAATGCACAATACATATTAAGAATTTAATGCTTTATTTTATTGATATTTTATGTTCCTGTTAACTACACATTTCATAATATAATAAGAACCTCCTGGCAAAACAGCAAGACCAGTGAGATGTCAAGCATGTCCTACAAAAAGACCAGGAAAGCAAACCACATGTGCTGTCAGCATAAACCACACATGTGTATGGAACATGCTGTTGTCATGAATGAAGACTGCTTTAGATGTGATACTTGAAGGAAAGATTTTTTTTTTTTGGTAGATTGCTATTGGTATTTTCACTGTAGTTCATACAGAAATTTATTTCTGATGTTCTAGTTTAACTTTGCATACCAAAAACCAGTCACTGTTGAAAATTGTGATGCTGTTTTGTTTTTCTTTTCTGGTACCAGCAATCGAACTCACAACCTCCCGCTTGCCAGGCAGGCGCTGTGCCATTGAGCTAAATCCCCAGCCCCTGTGATGCTGTTTTATAAACAATAAATATTTAAAATGCAATACTTAGCTGGGCATGGCAGTGCATGCATGCAATCCCAGCACTCAGGAGGCTGAGGCAGGAGGATCGTTGTGAGTTCAAGGCCGGCTGAAATGCATAGTAAGACCCTGTCTCAAGAAGTCAAAAAAAGGCAATACTTTATTTTTGTGATTTTTTTTTTCCTGTTAAGCACTCATTGTTTAATATAATAAACTCATAATATTAAAATTAATAATTCATCAATAGAAACTTCATGACAAAAAAATGTTAAACCCTGCCAACCAACCTAGACGCTGTCTGCTCAGCTTGCATTTTGCTCCACCACCCACTGCCAGAGGCCTTACATTTAAAAAGGCTAATTCTAAAAAAAATAAATACAATAAAAAGAAGCTCTCTCTCCACCCTCCTCTCTCCACCCCTCTCTCTTGTCCCTCTCCAAGGTCCTGCAGCACCTCTGCTGTTATTTTTAAGACCATTCTCCCACCTCTTTCTATATTTGCCACAGGTTCCGTCCCATTTCAAAAAGTTCAGCGTGGGGCGGAGATACAGCTCAGCGGCACAGCGTCTGCCTGGCAAACTGAAGGTCCTGAGTTCGATTCCAGAAACACACACATACAAAATTCAGTGGGAGGCTGCGGTTTCCTGAAACAGGCAGCCGAGCCCCTGGCGCGTGCCCGGGAAGTTATCACAGACGCGGGGCCTTTCAAAGTGTGGAACTCCAACAGTTACTGTAAAATTTAACAAACTCATTATTGTCCCTTAGATTACAGTTTCAGTTCCAAAGATATTTCTCAGGTGCAAGAACGACTGCACCAAAAATATTTTTTAAGCTGCCTGGGGGTGCAGCTCAGTGGTAGAGCCCTTGTTTAGCATGTGTGAGGCCCCGAGTTCAGTCACTAGCACCACCAAAAAAGAAAAAAAAAACAGAGACAGAGAAAGGAAAGGAAAGAGGAAGAAAAGCGGACGCATCTCAGTGCAAAGACGCTGGGTTCAATCCCCAGCACTGCAAACAAAAAGAAATAAAGCAACAAAACCAGTATGTGTTGTACAAGTCTGTAGTTACATACTGACTAGGTATCAGAATCATTAAAATCTTGGTTCTTTACTTCCGAAGAAAAGCAAATGGCCATTTCTCCCAGTTTGGGAGCTGGGGAGGCAAGGGAAGCTTCCCACACACCGCCGGCGCAACTCTGCACTGCGCGGGGGCTGCCTTCTCCTACGGACTCACGGGGCGTCTGCAGCGGTTACGGCCTGTGCCCGCGCAGGGCTGGCAGGCAGAAACCCGCCAGGGTGCAGGCCGAGCCCCCGGAGAGGTTACGATGCAAATGCAGCACCCGGCTCGGAACTCAGGACAAAAGGGGGGCCTGCATAAGAATGCACTGCCGGGTGGGGGCTGGGGCGGCCGAGGCCGTGCAGCGGGGAGCCCGGAGGCTTGTCCTCCCGAGAAAGCATCTGCCGCCCCGCCGGCCAGGGTCCGGAGTGCGCGCCAGGCGGGGACGGGCCGCGGCCGCCAGGGCCGGCTGGGGAAGGCCGACCCGGAAGGCCTGGAAGGTAAATTTGGGGACAGCAGTCAATGAGGGGAAGGAGGACGGCAGAGACAGAGACGCGGAGCGGACAGACACACGGCGGGCGAGCTCCAGGAGCGCTTCGGTGCGTTTGGGCCGCGCGGGCCTGCGCCTCCGGGGGTCGGGGGCTCGCGGCGCCCTCAAACCTTCAGCGAATGGAGCGCGCAGCTACGCGAACTCGGGGCTCGCCCCTAGGCTGCACCCCTGACTTCCACCTCCCAGCCGGGAGCGGACCCGACCTCCCCGCTCTGCGTCCACCCCACCCCCGGGCCGCGGTGCGTCTCCCCGGTCAGCGTCCCTCCCTGGACGCCTCGTGTCCCCGGCCCAGGTCGCCCGGGTGAGGGACACCCCACGAGGCGCCGCGCGGAGCGCCGTGCAGCCCCGACAGGAGTGGCTGCCGCTCCTCCGCCCGTCTCCACCCACCCCACCCCCGACTATTTTTGCCTCTTATTTTTTTGTTTGTGCGTTTGGTTGGGTTTTTGAGCCAGGTCTAGTTCCATAATCCAGACTGCCCGCGAATTCGAAGCGATCCTCCTGCCTCAGCCTCCCAAGGGCTGGGATTACAGGCGCGCGCCACCACGCCCGGCTTTATTTTTGTCTAGTTAAGGTGCCGACTTCACTACCTTAAACTGGTAATTCCAAGCTAGGCAGCTTTGGACAGAGATCTCTTAACGCGTTCTTTGAAACTTTCTGGAGACGCGGGTTCTGTTCTGCTGCCCAGACTCGCCGCAAACTCGGGCTCAAGCAGTGTGCCTGCCTCAGCCTCCCTAGCAGCCGGCGCGCGTCCCCGTTCCCGCTCTTACTTCCCAGGCCGCTGTCCACACCGGCCCCGCGCAGCGCAGGCTGTGCCTCGGAGCCCAATCGCCGCAGTCACCGCCACTGCCGTCTACACCCGATGCCTCCTGAGGAAACCCTTCCCGGCCGGATTTCCCTGCCCGTGGTACGGGCAGATTTTGAAGGAAACTGAACGGGAGGGCGTCGCCACAGAACAACTCCAGAAAACCTGGGAACTGGTAGTGGAACACCGAGCTGGGGGCACGCCTGGAATCCCAGCTCGGGAGGCTGAGGCAGGCGAATCCCTGCGAATTCGAAGCCATGCTAGGCTACATAGTTGAAGGTCAGCCTGGATTTCATAGTGGGACCCTGTCTCCCGGGCCGACGGCCGCGAAAAGCTCGAAGCCCGCCTTCGAGCCGTAGGAAGCGCTCGTGGTCCCCAAGAAACTCCTGTCGCGCGGGGGCCGGGTCGGGCTGCGAAGCGCGATCCCCTCAGCTCACCCACGGCGGTCCCGCAAAGGCGCAGGCGCGGGGCACGCGAGGGGGCGGGGCCTGTGGAGGGGCGGGGTCATCGTAAGGCGGCAGAAGGGATTCCCAGAGGGGCGGGGTCCGTGGAGGGCGCCGGCAGAGCTCTCGGGGGCGGGGTCGATGTGACGTCACTGTTACGTCACCTCTCAGCGGCCGCGGCTGCGGGGTCGAGCCGGGGAGCGGGACCCGCGGTTCGCGCTAAGATGGCCGCTCGGGCCCGGGCCGGTGAGTGCGTGAGGGGCGCGCGCGGCGGCGGCGTCTTTGTGAAACTCCGTCGGTGCGAGCCGGGCCG